AAGTATAGTAGGTTGGGGACTGGAGATATCCTAAACTCCCAAGGAGTGAGTGTGGCACATTCGGGGGCTGTGCTTGCAAACTTCAGTGCATATCTGAAACACCTGGGTCGGTGCTTTAAAAAAACTGGGATTTCCAGGCTCCCCTCCCAGGGATTCTGACCCTTCAGCCCCAGACCTGGGAATCTGCTTTTTTTATCCAGTGTCCCTGGTGATTCCAAGGCCAGTGATCTCAGGGTCAACTCTATCGGGCAACTCCCTGGAAGCCATTAAGAGCATGAACACAAGCATCAAGCTGCAGGAACCCAAGCCTGGCCTTCACCTTTGGCCAGCTGTGGAACACGGACAAATTACTTAACCTTTCTGAGCCTCAGCTTGGTCATCTCTAAAATGGGGATAACATAACACTACCCATAAACAAAGCAATACATGGAAAGCACCCAGAACAATGCCTGGAACATAGTGCTGGACACTTATTATTAGTGGATAAGATAAATGCTAGGGATGCTCTATGTATCCCCATTATCATGGCCAGGCGAAGGGGTCTGTATCTCTAGGACTCCAGCACAGTGACTGGCATAAAGGATGTGTTTGGGAAATGTGAATAATGAGTCAAGAGTGAAAAACTGGGAGAACCAATCTTTCATTGCTTAGTCTACCTTTTTGTAACTCTATTATATTGGTTCTTTTCCTGGCCAACTCTGGATTTTTCACTCTGAGTCTCTGAGCCAGTGTTACGTAAGCATTAAACAAGAAAAGGGAATTCCAACGAAAGCTTTTAGGGCTTTCAAGGGAAGAACGGACGCATTTTCCAGGGTATTAGTCCTTATTTCTTTCCTCAGCACACATCTATTGCGAGCTTCTAGGTGCCAGGCACTGTGCTAGCTACAGGGGATACGCCATGAGCAAAGCTGGTGAAAATCCCGCCCTCATGAAATCCTCAGTCTGCCATGGGCGACAGGCGATTATTAATAAACTGGGCAAAATAAGAGTGCCCCTCCCACCTAGGAGCCTATCCTGGGATCAGGTACAGTTCCAGGCAAATTGATAATAATTTACAAATTGAGTTGAAATGGTTTAAGTGCCTTCCCTCCTTGAGGCACGCAGTCCTGGGCCACAAACCCAGGGGCCTCCCGCACTCCCCAAAGCCCTCTGGTGCTGGGGACTCTCTTCTCGGCAAATGCTGGAAAGAACATGAGCAAATTCACCCAGTTCTTAGGGAAGGAAAGCGGTAGCTGCTCCCTAAACCGTTCTCCATCTTAAGGAAGAATTGTTCTGAGACACCAAAAAAAAATATCTATGTATTTTTTTTTCTCATTATCATATCAATCACAGGGTCATGGCAAATTTTGTAAATAAAAAGAGATAAGTATAATTATAAGAGTCATGAATTTCAGGTCCCCACATGATTTATTCTCAGAGACACAGGCCAGAGCCCGAGGTAATTAACAGGTAATTGTACGTTGTGGGGTACCCAATTCACAGGGCACCTTGACGTTTCTAAAAATTCTCTTGCCTCTCCTCTGCAATTCCCCCCCCCCCCCCCCGCACTCTGCTGCTTGGAACGTGGCTCTCTAAATTCCTTATTCCTCACTCTCCTCCCCAACACAGCCAGGCCACCACCTGCTAGGGCGCTCCTTTTTTCCTCCCTCTAGCCATCTCCAGGCTTCTGGAACTAGGGGTGGACACTCGCTCCCTGCAGAGAATGTGGACAACCGCGCCCTGAAGTTCTTCTCCCACTGGCTGGGTTTGGGCAAGTCTCTTTGCCTCCCTCAAACTTGATTTCCTTACCTGGAAAATGGCTTCACGATGGTAAACCACCCCCTCCCCACAGAGGACGGCTAGGACATCACAGGTCACCGAGTGTGTAAAGCGCCCAGTAGAGTGCTTGGCGTGTCACAAAGGTTCAGCAAATGATAATAGCCGTCATTTACTGTATTTCATGTCGTTAGGAGTATTAAAATTGTCCTTAATGCCACTGCCTCAAGATAACTCTGTTCATGGCTGGGTGGATATTTTCCAAGGCTTTCCCTCTAAACAAATCTTTTTAAAAGCAAATTTGGAATCAGACTCTATGTCTGGTTTTCATCCTAGTTACTGCATTTTGAAAATGGAGTTTCAATGAAAATTTTGAAAATGAGAAATAGAAATTTTGTGAGGTTTGGAAGAAATGTGTTTACTTTTTTAAAAAGTTAGATAAGAAGAAAGTGGGGGAAAAATCGATAACCTTATCACCCAGAGGATTTACAAAGTGTTTTGCATACATGCTATTTCATATATTCATTTTTTTTTTTTTTACCTAGCATTATTTCGTTGTCATGTTTTAGTTCTTCTCCATAGTGTTA